TTTCTAAATGTTGTGTTTTGGGGATTTTAAGGGTTTTATACGACAAATACATCCGTAAGAGAAATAATGCTGTCATTGTAACCTGTTGTGTTCTCCGTCTGTCAGAAAGGGCAGCACCTGGAGCCTTTCATCCAGTCCTTCTTCAACTCCTGCGAATCTCCCAAACCCAAACCCAGCCGCCCCGAGCTCACCATCCTGAGCCCCACCTCAGAAAACGACAAAAAGGTCGGCAAGCCTGATTTCATAGCTTTCTCTCTGTCTCTGCTGGGAATGTCATCCAGTGAGTAAAGCTGTAATGGTTGCAGTTAGAATCAGACAGTAGCTTTACTGCTGGATGCTTCTGAGGCTTCAAAGCAAAGTTCTGGTCATTTTAGGAACCGTGTAGACTGTTAGTTTAGTTCCTATATATAAGTAGAGGGATCTTGGGTTGGGGTGAGGATTTTTTGACGGTTCATCAGCCCCCTGATGCCGTCGTCCACCAACATTTGTCCCAATATGCTTTGCTGACGAGGACACCACCGACTGATCAGGTGGTCTTCAAATGAAAAGAAATAAAAGATTCAGAGGCAGCTTCACACTCCTTTTACAGCAAACTAACAAACTTATTTTTTCATAGTAATAGTTCACAGACTTGTAATCAGGTCTGACGTGACAAAATGAGGCTTTGAGCATTTAATTGGGGAACTCGCCGGACGCTGAATTGATGAGATTATAAAAGCTTCGACAATTTGACTAAACTCTGGTTGATTACACAAGAACGTCCACTTAACTAGAACAACTGTGTCATTTTCTTAAAAACGCTGCGACAGTTCATCGCGGACAGCTTTGACAAGTTTAAATATATCCCGAACAAAAAAACAAACCTGATGGAATTTGCATATTTACTTGAGCAGAGTTCTGCCAGCAGTCACTCGCATGTGAAAATGCTCTTGAAACTAAATAGTGGGTGTTTAAAGAGCTCTGTCCCTCTCCCCCAGCTCTTTAATGACCTCTTCAAAAACAATGCCAACCGGTCAGAGATGACGGAGAAGAGGCACAATCAGAACTACTTCATGGAGATGATCACTGTTGAAGGGGTGTACGACTACTTAATGTATGTGGGTAAGTGCAGTTTGTTTTTCGCAGTCCGTCCGTCACTTCCTGTTTATCACTTCTGTTATTTAATGCATTCTGTAGGTTATTGGAGGCATAAAGTGGAGATTTTTAAAGTGAGAGGACCCTGATACAAAGTCAGTGGATTGATGTTATCAGCTTAGAAATGTCTTGGAAAGCATTTCAGAGAAGATTTCAGTAAGAATACCAGAGAGCTCAGAAGTACGAGGTGTGTCGGAAAAGTTCCAGGACTGGAGTCTAACCTACTTCCCCAGCCTTCTCTTCTCACTGCCATGCACTCCTGGAAGGATTCATCCAGGATCCTCCGTCCTCACAGCCATCTTGATGTCGTCCACGTCTTCTAAACGGGTCTCCTTGATGACCCCCTTGAGCTTGGAGAAGAGGAACCAACCCCACGGAGCCAGGTGGGGTGAGTAGGGAGGTTGCTCCAGCACGGAGATGTTCTTCTCAGCCAGGAGCTGTGGGATGCTCAGAGCGCTGTGAGCAGGTTGTCATGGTGAAGCAGCCTCCACTGGTCCTGCATCAACTCTGCCTCTTTACTGAACAAAGCAAACGCTGCAGGATCTCTGTAGACGTGCTGGTTGATCGTCTGAAGGGGAAACTCCTGGTTGGTAGTTTGAAATATGTCTTTAGTGACACCAGTCCTGGAACTTTTCTGACACACCTCGTATGCGTAGAGAGTGACTCGGGTAGAAAATATTATCCTGCACAGAAAACATTTAGGATTTTACTGAATTCCATTTTATCCGATGGCATTTAGGTTGAAATACAGCGATTTTTTTTTCATATATAGTGACTCATCCTTTATCAACAGAATGAGAAAATTCACACAAAAGTATTTGCTGACAAACAGCAATAATCCAACAGCAGATAGACACCATTTCACTACAAACAGAACTACTGTAGGCATCACATGAGTACTTTAATGTAGCAGCTGCATTACATTAAAGTCGGTGAAATTATTCTGCATAAGAAAAAATGCTGATCTGTTGTTCATGTAGTATTTAGACCGGTTACATCTGGTAGTAACAAGAGCTGAAAAATGTTTTACAGTGAAGTAAGGGGAAGAAAAAGTTAATCAAACACAGAATGTAAGGACAAGACGATGTTCCTAAACTGTGCTAAACATCAGGCATCATCATGATGTCTTGCCCTTCGTTAACATCTCTCTCCTCGCTCCTTCCTCTCTTCCTCTTTTGCCTCGTCAGGCCGAGTCATCTTCCACATCCCCGACTGGCTGCACCACCTGCTGATGGGAGGCAGGATCCTGTTCAAGAACACGCTGGAGGCCTACACAGATTATTACCTGCAGTACAAACTGAACCAGGTGGTCCAGGAGCACCGGCTGGTGTCGCTCATCACTCTGCTGAGAGGTACGCTGCCGTTAGAGAGCAGAAAAGAGAACGAGTGTAAATCTGGAGTTATGTGCTGAATCTTTGCCCTTCCAGACACGGTGTTCTGCGAGAGCAGCCCGCCCCGCTCGGCCCAGGACAAGCAGAGGAGAGCAAAGAAAACATTCGAGGAGATGATGAGCTATATTCCAGGTATGCATGCAGGTTGTCATGGTTGCGTTTTGTGATGCGTAGACGTTGCACCTCAACTCCTGCATTTTCACTTCCAAGACAAACGTCTGGACATGAGAGTACGCGGTGTTTGTTTCATGTGTTGGCCGGGAACTCGTTTCTCTTTAGACTTTCTTGGGAAATGCATCGGAGAAGAGGCCAAGTATGAGGGAGTGCGTCTTCTCTTCGACGGACTGCAGCAACCGGTTCTCAACAAACAGGTACGAGGACACGCACACGGAACGCATTCCTCGTTTTCACGGCGAATTTACACCACGCTAAACCTGAAACATATCCAGACAAGACAAAAAATGGACCTGAGGGAAGCTGTGACAGTTAATGTTCAGGAAAATCACTCTGGGGCCCCTTTTCCTGCTGTTTACATCTGGATGTGCTCCCCCATTAGCTCACTGTAACCTGGAATGTTCCCAACCACAAGAATGACCCCTGAGACGCTGCAGTTTCAGAACGTCTTTTTGTTTCCTCCTTTTAAGTTTCAGTTATTGATCACTGGCCTTAATGCGTTTCTTCTGCCTTCCTCAGCTGACATACGTGCTGCTCGACATCGCCATTCAGGAGCTGTTTCCTGAACTCAACAAGGTAAACAGATGCAAGTCAGAAACATGGAGGCTGAACATTAATGCAGCAACACACAACCTGTACAACCTTCTTGATCCAGTCGTTATGATGCCTGGTGCACATGAATGAGTGTAACTGTATGATAAGTAAAAACACGTAAACATCACCTGAACTTCACTCTTTAAGTCCCTGCACTCTCTTAGATATTCTCTGTATAACAATAATGAATAAGTGAGTCAAAAGTCTTGTACCAGTTAATCTCCTACACCGGATTTGATTTTAAATCTTCTCTTAATTTAACATTTCAGTGGTTTAAAAACTGAAAAAAAAAACCCCTTTAGGTTGTATTTGACTGTGACCAAGTCTCTCATAATCTCAGTTTTTTTTTAATGCAGATTTCTAAACTGTTAACTATACGTCAGGAAGAAATGCCAAATTAACCTCCCGGGCAATTCAAAGAGTTTGTGGGAGTTTGTGGGAGTTTGTGGTTCTACACATTCGACACCTGTCCTCTTTTACACCAGCTTCTCAGTCACACGTTGCATTTGGGGTAATTACGTTCTGACACTGACAAAGAAAAAGTAGGCTGATTGAATTCAGTGGAGGAATTTAGAAGTGCATCGGGCTGCTATTTGGATTTATTCTGTCATTTTCTACTGTTAGATAATCATGAGCGCTTTAATCATTAACAGTTTCCACCGTCTCTACATGCAGCAGCACGGAGCTCCTGTGGCAGCGCTGACTCTGTGCCGTTGTTTCCTCAGCAGGTCCAGAAGGAGACGTCCGTGATGGCTCCGTGGATGTGAAACCTGCACGAGTTCATGAACATGAGCTAACATGCTTGTCAGGTATGAACTCACCCGACACTTATCCAGAGACTCTGACTGGTCCCACTACCCGAGACTAACTGATCCAGATCCCTGCCGCTACAAGAAGAGGAAACACCAGACTTCTCCTCATGTACGTGTCATTAATGTGTAAATAAAGGATAAATCAGTGCTGGACTGACTTGTGTAATTATTGTTCACAGTAAAAGCTAAGAGTACGTTTAACAGCCGCTGCTGGCAGTAAAATTTAAGCGAGTGTCTTTGTTTAACGCTGTGATGCTGCTGCTTTAGAAAAACTGTTGCTGCAGCCCCAGATGTGAACCACCGATTAAACCATCAGCTCATGTTTGGGTACAGTCTGGTACAAAGTTTGTTGTTTCATGTTTTCTGTCTTTGCCAATTAAATAGAAAGAGACGAGCAGAAGTCAATCTGACGACGTCACTTTAGTAGTCGTATAAATTAATAACGAGCTAAAAGATAATCAGAACAGTGACATATATAATACTACACTAATTACTTATAAAGCCTATTAAGTGATCCTCAGTTCAGGCTAAACAAAAGTGTGAGAAACAGAAAACAGCTCAGAACGCACGTTTACTTCCCATTCTCAGTTTATTACAACAACCTTACAAAAAGACTTTACAAAGATCCCTTTTTAACACCAAAAGGCAGATGCATGGATACGAACGTTTGTCTGCTCAGTGCTCAGAAAACTGCCCTCAGCAAACACAAATCATCGTCCTACACACAGGTCATGTCAGTAATATTTCACTGTAGCCTGATGACAGCTGTAGGACTCTTAGTGCGTGGCGCTGAATGACCTGGACGGGAGAAAGTTTGAGATAAAAGAACAATTGAAGACAGAATCCGGTGCGTGAAGCACTCGGGGCTTTGATTTGCTTCTAATGTTCAGTGGAAGGGGTGAGATTCATAGCTGCCGGGAAGCCTTCCCTTTGTTCCACTAAGAAGTTGTCCCGTCTGTTGTCTGGAATCAAAGACGGAGCGCAACAGTGCATTCATCAGGTTAAGGAGAATCTCATTTATATGTTTTTAAATGTCAGTGAATGACTTACATGCACTTCTAGAGCGGCCGTTTGCTAATGTTTGGTACATCTTTGCTTTTTTATGCACATTTTTTGTGTAAGATTTAAGTAAACAAGATTTGCCCAGTGCGTTTCTTTGTGGGACTGGAGGCTTGTTAGTGGGTTACAATCAGTCCCTGCCTGGATATTAACTCTAGCCTCAGGCTGAACCTGCAGTCCTGCTGTCTTGTAGTTATCCTCGTCCTGGAGGCGTTTCCAAACCCCTCCGTTTATTTCCCAGACTGTGGGAAAGCCGATCAGAGAGTCAGGTAGAGACACAGCAGCAGTAAGCCGAGGCTGTGGACTGCGAGGACGGCCGAGTTCCTGAACGTGATGCGACCTTCCACCGCCGGGTACACGCGCCGCATGTCCAAGATGTATTCGGAGAAAACCGCAATGTCCATATCGCCTGCAAAGAGATGGAGCACGTCACATTTGGTATAGATTAGGTAAAAGCACATTTCCTCAGTTGCTACAGTGCTATAAGCTAAATTTATAGGAGTTAGAGATAGTTGCAGAACTATATGAAGAGGATGTACCTGCTTTAGATGAAACTCTGCCACCAGTGATATGCATTTAAATGTGCAGCTGAACAGGGGATGCTAGTCTAGAATTTCCAGTGAAAGCATCATGAGGTCTCATCGTCTTGTGGTTCTGAGCATCAATAGAAATCGTTCCATGGAAATGTTTTGATGTTTTAGTCGTGAGCATATTGTACAACAGACCTATCCATGTACAGAACCAACTTGGGTGCAACCTGTTTCATGTTTGGCAGCTTTCCTCCAGCAGACATCCTGCTTTTCTTTCTGCTCCTGTAATCCCACTGGCCTGTTCTGGAAACTGGCCTTTCCATTGTGTTTATAAAGATATTCCAACGTGGCGTGTGGTGCCAAGTTCAATATCAAGATGCAGTAATATGCTGTTTAAAAAACATTCAAGCCAAGGGAGTGTTTCGGTTACATTCCACCAGGATGGAAAAAGCAGGGAGGAAGTGCATGAAAGTAAACTTTTCAACAGTCCGCCAGATTGCAGGAACTGGTTTTGATGAGAAACACTGGTTGAGAAGTTCCCTCTTTGTGCTCAGCTGGCAGATATAATCACAGCGAAGCACTGAAGCAAATGAAACGTAAGGTTTTTATCACATTAATTCTCAGTAAACGCTCATCATCTCACACACAGTTCCTGCACCTGCCTGCTGCCCACCTGTATTATGCTTCAGTAGCTCCTCCTTGATCATGGTGAAGCCGTCCCCTCCGTCCACCATGTACGAAGGCATCACCACGCTGTACGTCTTCTGCAGGTCCAGCGCTTCATACTTGGGCACACGGCACTTTGTGCAGAGCACCGACACCGACACCACGCGCTGGTAGGCCGGCTTGGAGAGGTCATACTCCACGTGAATGCCTGGAAATGCCACAGAGGACATCTTTCTTTAAAACCCGAGCAGAGAACGTTCATGTTATTCTGTTTGACTGTAGCAGGAGACAGACCTGAGACTTGAAGAAATTCTCCAGACATGCCTCCATATCTGTGAACAGAGTGTTCAAACGCCTTCTTCACTGTTGCTCCCTTTATCTGGACCAAGTCAAAGGTTCCTCCGAATGGCAGGACGTTGAGGATCTCCTCCATGGTGATGGAACCTGAACATAAAGAGAAATCAGCCAAACCGACACCTGCAGCTGTTGTAATGAAGCTTTTATAATGAAGCAGCAGTTCTGTAGAAGAAAAGCACCGTTCTTGTAGCGCTCGTCTATCGGCGTCCGCACGGCGCCGCTGTTCAGCATACACATGGCCACGTGGTTCCACTGCAGCTCGCTGGGATACCGAATGTTGTGATAAATCTGTTGATGCAAAAGAAAATATTACAGGCAGTAAAATGCCACTTTTCTCCTTCTATTTATAAGCTAAAGAAAAAATGTTAAGTGGTATTTACACCAGCCTCCTTCAAACCCCTGCAGCCTCTTCGTTTCCACCAAATCCCACTAATCTGAAACCCTGAACATGCACAGACATGACCCGAGGATACAACTGGTGAGAAGACTGGCTTCTGTCAGCGATGACTGAATTGAACTGAAGAGTCCGGGGGGCCGGCCGACGTCGCCCCGAGTGCGACTGAGTGAACGGATTAAGTGAATTATTACCATCGCATCGCAGATCAGGTTCCCGAGGTTACACTCCCGAAATCGGCACTCTTCAAACGTCCCGTTGAGGTAGACTAAGGTCTGTCCGACGTACTGGGAAGAGAACCGAGACAAGTCCTGCTTCCACTTCTCCACATCAGCGAGGACGCCCGAGTCTGGGAGAGAAAAGTCAAAAGCTTGTGATCAAAAAATTTGTGAAATCAGGAAACCTTGAGAAAGAACAACAGATGATGAGGCATTCTGGGGGATTGTTGATGAGTAAACTTACTGAACACATCATGGATTAAACGGTTACCAGACATCATCACAAGTATTTAGAATTAATGCAGACTTTGTGTTTTTGGAAAGCACAACGTAATCCAAACCTAGAGAGGCCCACTGCATTCATTAACAAAGAAACTGGAGACCTTATCTCATCTCACAGCTGTAACACCAGGTTCAGGTGGATATCAATCATCACTGTGATCCAAAGCTCAGAGGCAATGGGGCTACCTGATTTAATGAGCTTTTTCTGTCTAAAGTTCAAAAGTTTTCCCAGAAATACCGAGTTTAATGCTGCTGTGGATGAATGATAGCACAATAACCTGAGCCCTGAGTCATGTGTTCACATTTTGGACTGAATGAGCTACTACGATGTAATACTGGATGTCCTGAAGAAATCTTAAGAACCCGATGATTCTCAGGGAAGTTCTGTTGTTGCATTTTATGTCATAACTACGTGGATCCGACTGCATCCAGATTTTTATAACTAATGTTTAACGGCTACGTAAACCAACATAGGTTAGAAAACAACAAAAAGAACACCTTATATGGTTTAATGAAAGTTTTTTTTCAACTAGCAACGCAGCAAGTCAAACCTGTGACTGATAGCAGTGTGATGTAACAGCGTACCTTCAGGTATGCTGCTGTCCATCAGGATGGGGTTCCCTTTAGCTTCCACAACATTCCCAGCAGCATCAAAGGTGACTTTTAAGTATCCCAGATATTTTCCAAAGGCAAAGGCCTGCACCACGGGCACGTCTCTCCCGTCGTTGGACTTCACCATGAAAGGGTACGGACCTGCTGGAAGCTCAGTGGACGGAGGTGTTCCTGCACACAGAGAGGATGCTGCTACTGTAACAGTGAACTCACAGACCTGTCATGCTTTGGTGCTGATTTTCTGCAGGCAGGAAGCACAATCTGAATGTCTGAAGACAGCAGGATTTACAACAGAACCCCGAGTGGACCATAAACCAGGATGGACGTACCACTGTAGAGGAACGTGTTGGTGTGTCCGCCGATAACAACATCCACCCCTCTCACACGCCTGGCGATGTCTTGGTCCACGTCAAAGCCGGAGTGCCCCAGAGCGATGATCTTATTGTAGCCCAGAGTTTCCAGCTTATCGACCTGAACCTGCAGAGCCTTCACCTCGTCCTCAAACTTCAGGTGTTGGCCTGACAGCAGAGAGGGAAGTCCAGTGGTTAGTGCTTTTTATACTGGTGGATAAAACACGACACAATCAATAAAGAGACAGTTTAGACAGTAAGAGCCCAAAAGGAAAGGAAAAGTTCCATCAATCCAAAAGCAGGTTCTGTGTGCACCTGGCATGGATAAGACGGACGTCTCTGTGGTGGTGTATCCGACCACGGCCACCTTCTCTGAGCCCACGCTGAGGACCACGTAGGGCTTGTAGAGGCCACTGAGTTTTGCTGCCAGAGTGTCGTCAGGTTTGATGTTGGCACCGACCACAGAGAAGTTCACACTCTGGAGGAAGGGCTGGATCAGACCCTCCACTCCGTTGTCAAACTCGTGGTTCCCAAAAGCCTGTGTGACACCAGTGGACATGGATGGAATTAATTCATCATTTAATCAAGTTTTTTTTTTTTTCAGTTTTCTGCAGAAACTTCTCTTCAAAAAAAAAAAAATTACAAATGAAGAAAAAACTTCTGCTCATCTCTGTGGTTTATAAAAACCAAGTTCTCACCATCACGTCATAGCCCAGTTTGTTCATGAAGTGCGCTGCTTCTGCTCCTTTGTAGTAGTAAAACCACACAGTCCCCTGAAACTGGTCCCCGGCGTCCAGAAACAGAACATTCTTCTCCTTTTTGCGGATCTCCAACACTTTGGTGAACCTCCTGGCGACCCCGGCGAAGCAGGGAGCCCCGTCTGGACACTTTCCAGAATCCACGCTGGTCTCCTCGATGCGGGCATGGTTGTCGTTAGTGTGAAGAAGCGTCAGCTCGAAGGTCGACGCTTTCCCACAACAGCTTAAAGGCAGAACGAGGCACAGTGAGGTCAGGAGAGCGCGCGGAGACAACCAGAGACTCATCGCGTCGCCGTGCGTAAATACGCACCGCTGATGAAGTGTGAGCAGCACATGCAGGAGGCGTGGATTCTGCTCTTCAGTGGGATGTGTTAAAGCACAGAGGAAGATGGTGGGACACAGCAGGTTAGGAAACTACGACACTGAAAAGTAGAGAAAAACGTTTTATAAAGCTTTTCTAACCTGTAACCAGCGATCATTTAGTGTTCCTGAATGTCCTAAACACTCACAGGTCACTGACGAAAACAACGTTAGGGTGGAAAATCCCTTTTTAAGTGTCTCTGGACTGGAATGTATTCATAAATAATTAAACAGTTATTTACTATAACCAAAATTTAGAATGGCAATATATATATATATATGTATAAACGATTATTTATGACTTATTTATAATTATTAAAGCCATTAGTCACGACTTAAACCCTTTGTACAAAATGGTAAGTCAGGTTTTAAATTTTTTAAAAACTGTCACCATCACCAGAAGGAAGATTTCATCTTTTAAATTATTATTTTTTTTATTTATTTTTTAATATAAAACTGCACAAGATGCTTTGTTAAGGAATGTGTTTATATGATTGGAGAAAAGACGGGAGTTACTGCACTGTAAAACATCATAAAGGTTTTAGTCAAATTGATTCATCTTTTCTACTTTACTTGGAAATCTACGAGTGTTTTTTTTTTAAATATCTAGTTAACTGAACTTCAGTCGGTGGTTAGCACCGTGGCCTCACAGCTAGAAGGTCGGTGGTTGGCGTCCCGGTGAGGACACCCGGGATCTTCCTGCGTGGAGTCTCCATGTTCTCCCCGTGCAGCGTGGGTTCTCTCCGGGTTCTCCGGCTTCCTCCCACAGTCCAAAAACATGTTG